TATATTAAGTGTTGACAACCATTAAAGTCGGAATGTTAACATTAATGTCTTTAAATGACCGCGTTTGCACTTTCTCGGACATTTAACGTTACAGAAGTCTCCCGGAAGTTGCGGGACTAACGTTAACGTTATCCCGCAAATGCACAGAGACTCCCAGATGCCCAAGTAGATGCCCGCAAATGAATGATAATCTCCCGGAAATCGCGCGTCTCCCGCCCGGTCATTAAACACTTTGCACACCCCTCTCCACCGTATCCCTCCCAGCTCTTCAGGTACGTCGCGCGCAAGTCACCCCCACCGCTCTTTAGGTACGTCGCGCGCAACTCATCCCATTCAGGTACCCATCTCTCCCGCTACTTCCCGCAAATCAACTCTGTATCCCCCGAAAATGACTTTTCCCAACTCGGGATGTCTGACGTTAGTAAGTTAGGCTATTTCTGTAGTCAGGAACATCTTAGTCAAACTTTTTCTCCCGCATGATCTTGTGCTTATAGACTAAACCTAGCATGTACACAACATTTCCGTTTTATTAAAGACAATTTAGTGCGTTGTAAACCGCCACCTGTCTGTAAAATTAATCAACTGATTCATATTTGAGCAGCCTAAAGATGATACAGGTTTGATTTGTAGATTTATTATCAATAATCAACATCTGAATCAAAAGATATCTGAAAAGTGTGAGGCATACTTTGTGATGTTCATCTCTCTTTTTTATCTGAAGGTTATGCATATGTGTTAGATACTAATGTTTTGTTGTTTTTTAACAGCCACAGTTCTCTATACAATAACGCAAGACCCTGTGACGGTGACGGATGGTGTATTTCCAGAGTTGGTGAAATGACCAAGCACACCTTCTTGGTCATATGTGGTGGTGATAATAATAAAGGTATGTTTGATAAAGTTCTGTATTTGTTTCACAATAAGCTGAGAGGGTATTAGAGCATTAGAGAATAACAAATGACATGAAGGTGATAAGTTTTGTATTGTGGGTGAACTATAACTTAAATAATGTTTTGCTCTTTGCTTTGCACTTTTTCTCTTCTGCTTATCCTAATATTTTAGATTATATTTGGACCTGAAACATCTGCTAGACTCTAGGAAAGGTGGCGTCAATACTGGACCTGAAAGGGCCTAACAAGTTGAATCTGGTAAAGAAACACGCACGCACACACACGCAGGCACACACTTACATAAAACTGTAAGTTTATGAATATTTTTTACACTGTGGCCAATTTTTTGGGAAAGTCAGCATCACTAAATGATATAAAAGATTTTAAGCTCCTCTAAATTTTGCTCCAAGTGTTGTGTTAAATTCAGGATTCTGGACAGACAGCTGCCTGTTTTTCCAGTTGTAGTCATAGTGGTTAACCTAATTGTTTTTGGAGATCCAACAGTGATATATGTGTTTTTTCTACTTTTCCATATCCTGTCACCTCAACCAGCTGGGAGAGTCAAGTTGTGGATCATCATGAAGATTTTCAAAAGGTGAGTTTAGATTTCTTGAATGTTTTATTTACTTTAAATGTTCTTTTAAATATATCATAGAATTTGATTGCAATTTGTTTTCAAACATTTTTCTTAGTCATGCTGGAGTCTTGAAGAGTTCTTAGATGAGCATCACCCTATATCCGTGCATCAGGAACCACCAGACGAGCGATCAGCAGCTACTACATCATCATGGATAAAACGGTCATCCTGTGGCTGGGAAGCACTTCATTCACAGGACATGCTTGATGAGATTTCCTAGCTAAAGTTTGTTTTCACACAAGTTTACAGCATTTATACCTTCATAAACTGCTGTGTTTGATATGGAGGACCAAGGAAACACCAGAAGTGAAAGATTTGCAAGCCAAGTTGTTTAAAATGTGATTTCAGAAGAAAACTATGCGTTTAGAAGAAAACTATGAGTGACGCTATATTGAACTTTCAAATTGCTCTGATAAAACATCAAGTTTGGACTAAAGGACTGAAACTATTTTGTTGATACTGTCTGTACTAATAAAACATTTAAAGCATATTTGACATTGTTGCATTTTAAAAACTGAATGAATTGTTGAAGTGGTGAATGTTTTCAAATAAAATGTTTTTTTCTTTTGTAATTTACAGTCTATTTGACCTTTTTACCATATTTACACTCAAGAGAGTTGAATAAAATAACAACATATTGTAGTAAAAAAATTACTACCAGGCGGTGTTAAATATAGTTACATTTTTAACTCTGCCCAGAGTTAAAATTAACCCTTACTTCGGTGTCAATGTGCCAACCCTTTTGAGAGTGTTGATTTAACTCAGTTTTGAGTGGACCCCATGAGACACTTTCAAAGTGTTGAAATTAACACCCATAGAGTTGTTTTGGGTCCCCATATTTTGCTGTGTGGAGTGTTTCTTTAGAGAAAAGTCAACTAATCACGTTTCACAGTTAAAGGGTAAAAATAAAGGTTAATTTGCTAGACTGAATGGATACAGTATACCCTGCAATGATGGAACAAAATGGGAGTTATATCTCATGAATATCTGTGTGTTCATGTATCCATGTGTATTTGTATGTCGGGCCATTTTAACCAGGGTCTCCAAATGAAAACGCTGGCAGCTTTGCGCTCCAGTCAGGCTCTGATGTTGAAGGTTTGTTGGTTGTTCCCCCGTCCCTCATCCCTAATACCGTGATGTGTGTGTTACAGTCCTGCTGCAAAGAGAGACATAACTGTGCTCTGTTGGAGGTGCAGAGAGGTGCCTGTTATTATAACTGATTGAACACACGGTGTGAATTTATAATCACACATTTTAACACAGCTGTTTTCCTGCTTTCTCTTTGGCCTTCTCAATGAACTTTTACGGTTGTGGTATATCATTTTTAAGGTACGCTATGCAACTTTAATGTTATATGATAGTAAAATGCATCCAAATGTATTCTGAATATGTTAAATCGATAAATACCATGTGTCTTTTGTATTTTGATTGGCCTCATTTTGCACAAAGTACCTTAACATAATGCAGCATTCTTGTTAATCTGGTGAAAAACTTTCACATAAGGACACCTAAAAAAAAAAACTTGCCTTCTTTGCTTGTTAGTATTTTTTATTATTCTGGAATTTAGTAAGACATAAAAAGCATATTCGCATTGGTTTATACGTTTTGTACATCAATGCTTAAGAGTTTGGAGTGTATTTATAAATGCATTGAATTGATTAAAAGTGACAGTAAAGACTGTTCTAAAGAATATCCGTTGCAAATCATACTTTTTAGCTTCTATTGATCAAAAATACAAATAAATGACCTGGAGTGTGTTTCCGAAAACCATCATTAGCCAACTAAGGTTGCAAGTTCCGTCGTTACAAACATAATTTGTTGATTTGGCATTTCCCAAATCCATCATTCCAACGAACATTCGCAAACTGTGTCGCAAACTTGTACGCTTGCAACTACACCTCTAGAGCTGTAGTTATGCCCCATTCACACAGGGCTTCAGCGTCAACGCTTGACTAAAGGCATGTCTGAAGTTGGGGCTGAAGGGATCGTCATAGAAGCATCAGCCAATCTGATTGGCTGGCGCTTCCGTCTGCGCTTGAAAAGTTGAGCTAGTCCCAACTTCTGCAGCGAGCAACGTCTCTGAAGCGGCACCGACAGATCCACAATGCAGTTCGGCAACGCCTGACGTCACCCATTCAAAGTGAATGGGAAGCGTTGACGCTGACGCCCCGTTTGAATGGGGCGTTAGAAACATAGTTCCTGGTTGTGTTCTATTCCCAGTTATCCCCCCTATGTCCTATTCATTTAGAACATTCTAACATTTAAATTTAAAATTTGTAAAAAAAAAAAAAAGCAATAAAAATCCTCTCTTTAGGTGTAATTTGCTTTCAAAGCATTTTTAGAGATCAGTGTTAGTCTAGTTTAGATGTCGTTTTGAACACAGCCTCGTGACGAAAGCTAGGTGACCTACTATTTAAAAGCAGCATTTGCGTTACATCTCCAAAGCTTGTGAAAACAAAAGAAACGTAGCATACATATATGTACTGTATGACATGGGCCTTTTGGTTAGAACATTTCTGCAGTGGTTTGCATGTGTCACATTACAAAAGTAGACTTTTCAAAAGAAAAAAAATAAATAAATAAACAATATCCTACTTAATCATCATCATCATTATCATCATTAATATTATTATTAAAGTAGGATTTATTTTTTCATTTCCTAATAAATAATACATTTTCAATTATTTTTTTAATAAATAACCTCTATTTATTTATTTATTTATATTAACACGTGTTAGCTTTTGTAAGTGATTTTATGTTTTAGAATAGAATATGTAGTGTTCTAAATAATATTTGTAAAGGAAACAAATGCCCTATATGTGCCATTTACATATATTTCAATTAATATGGAAAACGAGTGCATGTTTTTACCAAAACTATTATTGGGTTATATTTTAAATATGTGTGCATGTAAAACAATATACTTTGCACAAAGAAATTATGTGGTTCTTCACTAAAGAAGTAGTTACTCCACCCCGTTTAGAGCATCATTACGGGCGTTTTACTCTATAACTGACGTGTTTCAAATGATGGATCTGCAACAGAGAAACTACAGGTTTTGTGAAACACTCGTCACCACATCATAGGTGTTCATCGATAGTTCATCCGCGAGTAACGTTGTTTGGGAAACGCACTCCTGAACATTGTTAGTTTTTAGCAGCAGCTGTTTAAAAATTTCACAATAAGAAGAAATATTTAAACAAAATAAAATAATTTGACAACATACCAAATCTGTTTTGTCAAATAAATGCAGTCTTGATTAAAGAAACATACAAATATTAGTATATATGTATGCAGTCAGTTAAATACATTAAATCGTTTTTCATTAAAACTTTAACTGTAATCCATTGAAATGAATTACAAACAACTCCCAAGAAGGCAAGTTGTAATAGGGGTAATGTGAATAATGAATGGTATATCTGCGGGTCAATAACCCTACAATCTGTACTTTGCAATGCTGCTGATCTCAACAGAAACGCCGTATTGTCAACGCCTCAGCTGGAGGACAGGCCACAGTAAGTCTGTTGCGAAACTCTCTTTGTGGCAAGACTGAATCAAGCCTGATCTGCACAGCATTGCGGAAAAGTCAAAGGTGCCATCACAGTGAAGGTTGAGATAGAAACATTATCATTTATAATGATGATGTTTGATATATAAATGTTCTAATAATCAATACTGATGATCAGAATTAATTCAAAAGCATGACATAGGTTGTACTGAAACTGAAAGTCATCATTATATTATAACTTTTGTTAAATTAAGCAGTCATTTTGAAACCTACAGTACTCCATTTTGATGGCCCTTGACTCTATTAAGTGATGCTGAGTTCTTTTGCCTTCATCTGACCTTCTTCTTCTTCATCTCTCTTTCTCTTTCTCTCCCTTGCCTTGATTTTCTCTCTCTCTCGTTTTCACTTGTTTTTCTGTTTGTTTTTTCCTTTCCCCTCTTTTCCTATCTTTGGCCTCCCGGTGAACTTGTTGGCCTGGTGGTTTTCGTGCTTTGTGACCTCAGCAGATGCTGCCCTTCACCGTTCGCAAAATGCCCTCAATAAGCCCTCTAATCCTAAAGCACCTCAAGGTACATCTCTCTCTGCCACCCTCTCACCCTTTCCCTATACGGATGCCAACCTTTGTCCACCGACTGCCTGTTAGTCTGAAAAGTTGAAGACATTGACAGTGATTATGTTCTAGACAAATAGTCAGATTTAAATAATCATAGACAGTACTTTTATTGCCTTGGTACTGTATGATATAGTCTACTTGAAATACACTTTTGTTCCAAAATAATGTCCAATTCACAAAATTTATAGGCCTATAAAATCTACCCCACAGCTAGAATTCTGTCAAGCCCTTGCTGGCTTTCTAGACGTTGTCCATCTGTTTTAACTCCACGTTATCTCAATAAAACGTTCTAATACATAATGGATTGTCCTTGTACAGTAAGCCTAGTCCTGTGATAACGTTGGGAAAATTTAGTGATCGTTCTGGTATTTTTGAGCTGACAGAAAGTCATCTAAATAGAATCAGAATATCTCTTGCCTAGTTAATATTCTTTTATATGTTAAGTCAGAATTGGATTTTTGTCAATGTCTGTCAGCTGAGTTAAACACTCATTTACAATAGTATTTTGTTTATTCATATGCATCTTAATGATTCCTGGTTACAGTGTAAATACATAAATAGTATCAAGTAACTTATACCTAGATAATATTATTAATAAACAAGTAGTATTTAAACCAATTAAATACTTATTTTAATAATATAATATAATATAATATAATATAATATAATATAATATAATATAATATAATATAATATAATATAATTAGGTTTGGTATTAGGTATAATTAGGTTTGGTATTAGTTTCTTGTGGGAATCTGCGTAATAAAAAAAAAAAGCCAAGATTATTTAATCCTCTGAAGTATTGTTTTATTTACGAATTAAAAACTTCCATTAATGTAAACATATATAATCATATAGAGTAACTGAGAGTGTTTCTTAGCAGACAAAAAAAAAAAAACTTGCTTTCAGCTTGTTAGCTGGTCTTTTGTCCATTCAGATGAGGAAATACTTTACAATAAGTCATTTCTTATTGTTTATTAATTGACTGTAATAATGTATGTGTTTGTCAGTCTAAGGGAAATCCCGAGAGCATGGTTAAAAAATATATATATTTTCCAATCCACACAATGAGAGTCAAAAAAGCTTTGTTGACAGAGTGAGTCTTCCATAAAGAGAGATTACACTCTTTAATTTATCTTTTTTAAAGGGTATCTGCTATGGAAAGTCATTTTGACATTTAATCTATAACCAGTTCTAGTATTTATTTTCATGTTACCAGTACTTATTTTTTAGATACTAGTTTCTTTTCCATTAAGTACTAGTACTTGTTCATTAGATATTAGTACTTATTCATTAGATACTAGTGCTTATTCATCAGATATTAGTACTTATTCATTAGATACTAGTGCTTAATAATTAGATACTAGTGCTTAATCATTAGATAGTGCTTAATAATTAGATAGTAGTGCTTATTCATTAGATACTAGTGCTTTTTAAAAATATACTAGTGCTTACTCATTAGAGACTAGTCATTTATTTATCAGATACTAGTACTCATTCATTAGATACTAGTACCTATTAAATGGATACTAGTACTAATGTATTAGATACTTGTACTTAGTCATTATACATTAGTATCTATTTAATAGGTACTAGTACTTATTCATAGGTACTAGTATTCATTATATATTTCTTATTTATTAGATAATAGTGAATAACCAGGGTTATCTAATGAATATCGCCCCTTTCACACGGGGCTTCAGCGTCAACGCTTGACAGAGGGCGTGTCTGAAGCTGGGGCTGACGCGATTGTCATAGCAGCGTCAGCCAATGAAATTACGCCTGATGTGACGCTGACGCCCCGTGTAAATGGGGCGTTCATACTACTACCTAATGAATAAGTGCTAGTATCTAATTCATACGCAATAGTATCTATTAATTAGGTAGTATCTAATTAAAAGTACCTAATGATTAACTACAAGTGCATAAATAAGTTCCAGCTGCAATTCATACTAGTCAAAACTAGTATCTCACTATTATCTACTAAATAAGTACTAGTATTAAATGGAAAATATACTAGTATCCAAAAAATAAATACTAGTAACATGACAATAGATACCAGTATGGGTTGTAGATTAAATGTCAAGACGGCTTGCCATAATCTGCCCCAATCAGGATATGCCTTTGGCACAGGTTGACCACGGTTGGCACCCGTCCTCCATCTTATTTCTACAGGTGTGAATGTGTGCACTGATTTAGAGTACCATGTTTGGAGACAATGGTCCAGACAGTTGCAGAATTAGAGAACACAGTTTGCATTTGATTGGCTGGGTCGGGTCTGCGCATTGGATAGAGATCATGGAATGTCTCCATTTAATGGATCTACATCTGGCCTCATAAATCAAATCTAGACATATCCTGTCAAGAAATAAATGGATAAAATATGGATCTGAAACTGATGAATGTGTTCCGGATTTTCTCTGGGTTTCAGACTTTGCTACTGAACAGAGACATTGTAACAGAAACGTTTTTCTTTGTCACGGTATCTGCTCAATTTGTGGTTAATCAGTCTTTATCCGCTTGCCAGCATGTAGGAGGTCTTAATTTTCGGTCTATAGTGGAATAAAGGCTGGTAACGGAGCAGAAGTTATTATTCTAACACACACCAAATTCTCAGTGTGCAGACTAAGCCTCTTTAATGTTGAAAACAGACTGTTTAAAAATTAATTACACAGCAGAAATCTCCTGATGGTTCTCTTCTCAGGATTAGCAGGATATTATTTAGTCCAGCCTTATTTCCTATTTTCGCATGACTCTTGCTGTGTAAATACTGGACGCTTTCCTGTGGATGATTTTGTTTAGTCTCTTTGGTCAGTGAAGGTCTCCTCTTGTTTTAATACAGGCCATGAGATGATCACCTATGTTATCTAAGTTTCCAAATGTTTCCAAATGTTTTCCCATTTTCCTCCAAGCATGGTACTTTATGTGATAGGATAACACAAACTATCATCACATCCTGATCTTTGACTCTCAACTCAACCTTAAGGCTTGGGTTCCCCTCAGCTTCAAATTCCATTGTTTATTTGGGAAGACAGTACATTGTAGATATTTACAATAGTTCTAAATACATTATATAAAGGAATTTGAGTAGATAATTCATCTACAAATGCATTTTTTTTTTTGAGGATTTGAATCAGAATGGATCCAGCCTTGATGTTTAGAAATGTACCTTACATCCAAATGGCTTCTTTATCTTTATCTCAGATGCTAACTTCCTGTCTCTCAGCAGGGTGAGCCTGGAGCACAAGGACCACCGGGACCTCCTGGCCCCCCAGGCCCACCTGGGCCTCTTGGCCTAACTGGTGCTATTGGGCCTCCGGTAAGTCGAAATCTTCTGCATTACAAAATAGGGATGTAACAATATTGTAAATACCGTCACACCGCAATAGTAATTTTTTTCAATATTAACTTAGGTGGATGACTCAATAAAACTATATTTCTGAGAAAAGTTTGCTTAGGCGAATGAAGCGAATGAGAGGCTCATTTGTCTGTTGTCACTACAGATCCAGTAATGCGGAAATGGAGTGTGTTGCTAGTAGCGGGGAAAAAAAAGAGCAGGAAATGATCGAACTTAAAGCGGGTTTTAAATTGGATGTGTGGAAGCAATTTGTTTTTTTTTCTAAAAAGATACGAAAAAGGAGAAAAGGTGACGGACAAAGAAAAAAATAGTATGCAGGCACTGCCAGACTGTGGTGAAATATAAGTCGGGGAATACGACTAAAAACAGTCATGGGGACTGCAGAACACAGCACACTTGTTAGATTGATGCGGACATTGACTTGTACCGCAAAGAGACCTCTATCTCACTCATGGTTTGTCCTCTCAAGTGGTGGAAAGACAATGCACAGCGTTACTGCTGTCAACCTTGGCTAAATCATATCTCTCTGTCCCAGAAACCTCAGTCCCAAATGAGAGGTTTTTTTTCTGTTGCAGGGGACATGCCCAGAGATCCCAGCTTTTACCAGATTATAGTTAAATGATAATTTTCCTTAAAAAACCCATCTCTATCTAAGTAAGTGAGTGATTAAATATTGAATGTGATGAGTTTTCAACAATTTAATAGTTTAATAGTTTTTTGTTATTAAAATTGAAAAATTAAAGTTCCTGTTTCGAAACTTACAGATAGGTGGCTAATTTGTATGTCATTGATATGTTCAGTGCTAAGGTAAATAAACACTTTTGGCACTTTTTTCGGGTCTTTTCATTAGTTTTGTTTTTCCTGTAAATTATTCAATAAATACCGTACCGTGCCATTCACACCGAGGTATTACCGTACCGTGAAATTCTGATACCGTTACATCCCTATTAGAAAATGATTCCCCACATGCTCTTTGTTTTTCAAATGTATTACATGGCTTATCAGAAATAATTAGTTTAGATTTTTTTATTGATGTAATTTCATAGTAATTTGGGGATAATAAATACTATTATACTGTAAAACTGTAGTCATTATACAGGTCATTCTATCACAGCCCATTTCATTTAGCAGTTTCTTTCTTACGTTATAAAGTAATTTAAGATAATTTAAAATGAAATATTGATTGATTGATTGGTTGATTGATTGATTGATTGATTGATTGATTGATTGATTGATTCATTGATTCATTGATTCATTGATTCATTCATTCTTTTATGTCTTATCCAATAGTGACAGTTTTGGCTCATTTGAACTTTTTGTTGTTATTTTTGCACACTTTAAACAATCTCTCAAAACTCTTCAGCAGATTAAAACTTTTAATGATTCATTTTCTTTGTTTCCTTTTTGCAAACCAGCCATTTTGCCGTTAGCTTAAACCATATCTGCCAACATTTATCCCTAAAAATTTAGGACACCAGGGCGGTTCAGGAGTCTGAATAACACTGTGTGGTGTTAGTAACTGTACTATGAAGCGTTTTTCGGGCAGCCGCTGTGATCGGATCCTATACAAATGTTGGCGACCCAGGGGTTTCACTGACCGTACCAAACTGCTGAGGACCGGGGGGAGGGGGTGTTGAAATTATGAGAGTTTTCCAGGAGAAATAACAAAATGGGAGGGTGGCGGATGATGGGTCTGAAATACGGGAGAAAAACGGGAGTGTTGGCAGGTATGGCTTGATCTGTTACTATGTGCAGAGATGCAGGTGCGTCACGTCACATAATGATTGACAGCCCACTGAACCAGTGACAGCACTCAGAGTGCAATAAATTAACAATGTGTAATAGATAAACAGATTCACCATATGTTCAAAGAATCATGCAGCCCTTGGCTAAATTCTCCATCAGTCAAACTAGGATCTAGGAAGTAAGTGACAGACAGCCTATGCAGAACGTCAAAACACTCGACTGCTTTGTTTAGATTTTAGTAACTATAACTTTGACTTTTTATTCAGTCTGTGGTCTCATTTGATTTGTAACACAGTAAGCTATGACATAGACTTTTTACTATAAAGATGCCGTTTTGGCATGTAAGTAACATGCTAAACAATGTAAACAACAAGTCTTCGGCAGAAACGGTGACAAACAATTGTATTATCATCCATAAATCAACACTATTGTGTCGGTGGACTAAATGTGTTTGATAGGATGTTGTTCTATGGACTCCTTTCAGAATAAACCATAATGTACAGCAATGAATGCGTGTGTGTCTTGTTATCACGAAGATATGTACTCCATATCTAATAAGCGTTTTCTGTACAACTCACACAAATTTAGCAAATACATTCTTTATAAGCTTCCCATTGAAAAACATCTAACTGTAATGGCTGCTTGAGGGCTGTAGCTTTAGACTGATGTATAGTTTGTCAATATTGCTCGTGTTCTTTTTGATGTAATCTATTCGTAAACAATGAAATGTGCAAAAACAGCGCACCATAGCCTCCATGTCCTGGTGCTGGCTTATCTACCTATTCGTTTTTGTCATAGGGGAAACCTGGAGAACCTGGAAAACCTGGAAAAGACCCAAAGGTGAGTGTTTGAATGTATATTTATTTGAACTTAAAGCAGATACTCATACTGTTTTAAGTGAAATGATGATTCCTTAAGGATCCAAATGTCAACTAAAGCATGTCTTTTTCTTTCATCTATAGATGCTACCAGGGCTGAAGGTAAGCTTGAAAACCACACAGCTGTCCGACTGCTCTGCACTGATAGTATTTTCCACAGGCGACTCATAAACAGGCTCACATTAAGTTCACACACAGTTCAGCAGCCTACAGGGTGGGTCTGCTCAGTCTTTGCCAGTACAGAAGGGGTGGATACGCCATAATTGATTATCCGTGTTGCTTTTGGATAAGAATGTATTTCCCCTGATGTGTTAATTGCCACTGAGTTTAGACTGGGGAATTTTAATTGTACTCAATTTAGAAGCTCTAGTCCCTTATATGAGGACTTGTTTGCCAGTCTATATAACAGCTGTGGGTGAAGGCTTAATCCTTCGGACATGATGTTCCTAATAAAGGAATACAACTCTGGTCATAGCCCGTTTTACAGCAGATAGTTCAGATTATAAGAAACGAATAAATCACTTATCCATAAAAGCCACAGAGCAAAAAACAGGTCTTGAATAGTATCAAGGCTATTTGATTTATTTTCTTCCTCCTTTTTATAGGGTGAACCTGGCGTACCTGGACAAAAGGTAAGTGTGTCCATCATAGTTCATAAGTAGACTTTTATTAGCCCCTTTCACACATTTAGGGCTCTATTATGACGGTCCATGCACAGAGCGCAAAACACAGGGCGCAAACGCTTTCAGGGCGTGTCAGAACGCATTTTTGCTAATTTAAGGACGGAAAAATCTGCTTTGCGCCATGGCGCATGGTCTAAAAGGGTTGAGTTTATTTTCTTTATGAGTTATAGGTGTGTTTTAAGAATAAAGCAATTAGAGTCTCATCTCCCATTCGCTTTAAGAGTCAGCTGCGTCGCGCCAAGAGCGCATTCGCTATTTACAGGACGCAAAGTAAGTCTAAGTGGAAAAACTGAGCATTTCACTAGCAAACAGTTAACAGTTTTTTTTTAACAGAAAACTGTTAAACAGAGCATCTACTGCGTGAGAATGAGAGATAATGGATCTAATTTCGCTCTTGGATAGGGAAACCTTTACGCAAAAACATCAATTAGTCTATAAATAAATAATTTTGTTTGTTAAGCGCAAATATTCGTTTCAAAACTATTTCTAAATTCAGTTCTAATTTCCAGCTAACAAATAAATGAACAATAGTAACGAAGTGTGTTCAAAAACCTGAGTTATATCCTAAAACACATGCTGTGCCCCTTATGGTCTAAAACCTGACAGGTGGGCAAATCTAAGCTTGTTTTTAATAAAACAAATATAAATATGGATATAATAAATAATACTGCTAATAATAATAACATTATACAAAAGCAAATTGTTATGAATGAACTGAAAAAGCCTCCCGAGATGAAGAAGACATAAAAGCAGTGATTTTTCATATTTATGTAGGCTAGAAAATAGTATGTTTTGTAATATTTTAATCCTTTATATTTATATCCATTATCTATTTTTATTATATTCTATATATATTCTTAATATTTAAATTTTTTCATATGTAAAGATATTTGCCTATTGCTCTCTTGTGCGTATTAAGCAGTGCGTAAGCGAGGCGCAACTCTGCGCCTGAGTTTAGACCGGGTTAATTTTGGTCTAATGAAAAATCTGTTTTAGTTTCTCAAAATAGCAACGCGCCAGCGGTCCACCTCAGAACGCCTTCCTTTTTAGACCAGAACGCCTATGGACGCACATATGAGCGCTAATGCATTTGCTATTTAAACAGCGTAGCTCAACGCCTCAAAACGTCTCTTGCGCCAAGCTGAAACTACCAAACAAGTATTGCGCCGCGCCTTGCGCCACATTGCGCCGGGTGTATGATAGGGCCCATAGACCTTTCCGGAAAATTACTGGCAATTTTCCGGAAAGGTATGCATGTGTGAACAGGCCCTTTTTGAAAATACCGGTAAATTCGTTCCGGCTATTTTCCGGAAAGAGAAGTTTTAACATTACCGGTAATTTACCAGAATGCTGTGCTGTGTGAACGCAGAAGGCAGATTGCTGGAAAGAGGGCGTTCATGTCTAGAATGCGCTGACGTGAGATGTCTACTTTAGCCAATCAAAACATTCAGTGTTAACGAAAATAAATGTCTTTGAATTTTTTTTCCAGTCAAAGTTAGCTGCTAGCTGTTAGTTAGATACGATTTCTATGTTCCTTCTTAATGCCAAGTGTGTAAAAATGATCAATAAAACGCTTATGATAAACCGTTGTTTGTTTACCTTCGAGCTCTGATGCACGTGAATCAGCCGGTGAAGGCCAGCACATGTACATCTCGACACGCAAAAGTGTTCCTCCATATGTTTTCATCGAAGTTGTTCACAATACTCCACAGAGTTTGTAATGTACTCAAATGTTTACAAATACAAGCGCAGCTGTTTGAAGGCCATTTCTGGTTAATGATGTCAGAATTTACCGGTATTTTGGAATAAATGTGTGGCTGGTCTTTTCCAAAAAAATTCTGTAAAATCCGTGCCTGTGTGAACCACTTTTTCCGGATAATTACTGGTGTCACTGTGTGAAAGGGGCTAGTGTTTCTGTTATCTGAAGAGCTATTTTTTAAAATCCACATTTTAGTGCTAGAAATTTGGCACTGCTGATGATTGCTTAAACAAAACAGTTAGAAACTGATCCATCTTCTCAGAGGAACCTCAAGGAATTAAGCAGAACTGTAAGGGAATGACATATAAATGAATCATTCAGAAGAATGATTGAAAACCACTAAGCTACAAGACAGAGCCCTGAATGTGAGGCTAATCAATCAACATTCTCAATGAAGATGGGAGAAAAAAACTTGGCACAAATTATGCTAAAGCACAGATAAAATATTAGTGGATTAGGGAGAACACAATTCATTTGGTGAAAGCCCGACCATTTGTTTCCTTTTTATCTTTGTTTTCTGACTAATTTCATCCTTATCTCTCAGGGTGATCGTGGTGAAGCAGGCCCAAGTGGACCAGAAGGCCCCATGGTAAGAATCTGCTCTAAGTGGCTTAAATAATTAACATGCTCAACAGGTCACTCATCACTTCTGGGTCAACCAATTACATAATCCCAACACAGAGAATCTTTTCCCAGATTGAATCAGACTCAAAATGTACTAGACTTCCCCACTTTGAATTCTAGAGAGGGTGTAAGTGCATCTAAAAGCTTCTGTCAGTGTGATTTCAGATTCCAAAAGCAGTAGAGTTTTGATTAGGGCTAGACGTTTTTTTCCTAAAATCAAAATCTCGATTAATTGAACATTTTAACTTGATTACGATTAATGAACGATTATTTTCTTGATTTATTTTATGTGTTTTATGGGATTTATTTTGTAACAGTTCACTGACAAGTTTTGTATAGTAAATTTGCTTGCATATTACAAGTGTTAGATTTTTGAATGTAGGGTGGATTAATTACTTAATTTTACTATCTATGTTTATTTATTGACACCAACGCTGAACGACTGAAATTAAAACACACATTGCCTAAAGCGCAGCTCTCTGCACCACCCACCGTTGTCACCACTAGCAAACCGACCAATCACAAAGCTTGCGCTTTGCTTTGTTGTGACGTGTAAGTAAACTTTTTTGAGAGGTGCACGGGTATGCAAAGGCTGCTCTGGACTGTACTCATGCCCTTGGCAGGAGTATAATATCATAATGATAATAATAAGTGGGTGTCGCAGTGGTGCAGTGGGTAACATGATTATCTCACAGCAAGAAGGTTGGGTCAGTTGTGAGTTGTCCTTCGGAGGATGCAACCTTTGAAATGAGACACAGCTAACGTGTATAGGTGTTTCCCAGTGTTGGGATGTGGCTGGAAGGGCATCGGCTGTGCAAAACATATGTTGGATAAGTTGCCGGTTCATTTCACTGTGGCAAACCTTGGTTAATAAAGGGACTAAGCGATTAATGAATGAAAGTATAATTTAGCTTGTGACTCCACACGTGGTAGGAAAATGAATTTTAAAAATTGACCTGGAAAAATTTGATTGATTATGGATGTCGATTTCAATTACTTTTTAATTAATCGACCAGCCCTAGTTTTGATTTAGCCAAAGAAACGGCACCTTTATTGGTTGGGTTACCAGTTTAAACATCAGTGGACCACTGGAGGATTTAGACAAAGTAGAGGGGTTGCTGATAACAGCATCTGTTTGTGGTTTTACTGTCTTCCCTTGAGCAATGTGCTTAACTCTAAAGTCTTTGAGTGCATTACCCCTGAGGTAATGAAAGATTGAATTAAGATAGTAGTCCAGGCTTACGGTAATGCTAAGAGAAGCACAAAATACCCTACATTAAATATACTATGCTTTATTTGTTACAAAGTTGCTATTTTTTTAAATATTACTCAAGTCATCAATGTCCATGATCCTTTAGAAATCATTCTGAATCTTAAAACAATACGTGATAAAAACATTCATCTTCTTTCCGGCTAAGTCCCTTTATTAGTCTGGGGTCGCCACAGTGGAATGATTTTATGTGATGTTTTACGCAGCAGATGCCCATGCAGCTGTAACCCATCACTGGGAAACACCCATACACTACGAACTATTTAGCTTACCCAATTCACTTGCATGTCTTTGTACTTATGGGGGAAACCGGAGCACCCAGAAGAAACCCACACAAACGGGGTGAGAACATGCAAACTCCACACAGAAATGCCATTTGACCCAGCCGAGGCTCAAACCAGCGACCTTCTTGTTGTGAGGCGACCCGCTGTGCCACTGCGACAGCCCTTGATAAAAACAGTTATATAAAAATAATATTTCTACAAAATAAAATTCAAATGAAATCACAGTTTACCCTCCACTTGTACCAAACAATTTTTGAGCTTATTTGTTTTCTGTTGAAGACAAAAAAATAGATTTCTAATAATGTTTGACACTGGCAGACTGATGTTTATAGACTGACATTCAATACTATGAAAGTCAAGGCTGGCTTCCAATATTCTTCAAAATATCCCCTTTTGTGTTCAACAGAAGAAGAAGGAAACTCAACAGAGTTCAGGATTGTCTGATTAAAAAGCCCCTATTAGGCATTAAAAAGGTCATATTTTGGTTTAGGGGGTCTCCAACAACAGGCTGATATGCATGGAAGGTCAAAAAACACCTTCATTGTCTTATATTATGCATTTATTTTCACCTAATTATCCCAACGACTCCCATTTGATTCGTCCAGCGATTCATTTGTTCCCAAACCCCTCCTTAGCACGATCCTAATCTACTCTGATTGGCCCGAAGTCCCAGTCTGTTGGTGGACTGATTGGTGGACTGCATTTAGCATTAGACAGAGAGAAATGCCCACCAGGGTTGCTAAACAATTTTGAAGTAGTCCGAGTGTATGTGTGAGCCCAATGCAGGAGTGCATTTTAACCAGCATATTGCTCTATTCTTAATCATTAGTAAAAACAGTGACACGCATTCAGTATAAATCTACACGGGCAAAAGCTAAACTATTTTGAAACGTGACTGCTGCACGTGTGTAGGAACAGCTGATGGTGGCCAAAGCAACGACAAACTGCAGAGGACCACAAGCTCACAAACACATTTAAATCCGTAAAGAAAGCGACACACGTCACGCTTTCAACAGGGTTTCAGACGGCATATGAGAATATAAAGAGTTAATATGCAATACAAGATACAGTACAAGCGGTTACAAGTAACAAAACACAATTAAATACATTTAATTAAATACATAAATCACACTTACACTTGTGAAATGAAGGAAGGAACTGATCCATTAACTGTGTACTGTAAAGTTCCTGTCAAGCAAAGTCCCATACATCAATAGTCTTTTCTGATCCTTTCTTTAACAAACTGCTGTCGAATCCCCTTTTGTAGATTGCTGTAGCACTCGCCAGAAAAATGACAGGAACACAGCACAAGGTTGGGGCTATAATGCTGAGATATTTTTGCAAAAATAAACTTCGACCACTGACTCTTCACAGCCTCGTCTTTGAAAATAACACTTTCTCTCACACTTCAGCTTCTTCGCGACATGATTCAACCAGAATCCGCTACAGTGTTTGTCTTACTCTTTTTCTTTCTACAGTGTTTGTGGGCAGAGCCGGTGGGTTAATTTTTTTTTTCCGGGTCTGTGTCATACCTGTCAACATTGAGATGTGAAAATAAGGCATATGCCTACCATAATAAGGGATTCCCCCAACACCCCTCCCCCCCCCCCCCCCCAAAAAATCCCCAAATTACTAAATAGGTTCATTTGCAGCTGTTTTATTGTAAATAAACAGTTAAATGGTTAGTAATATGTTTTAAAATTATTATTAACAAAAGAAAAATAAATATATACGTTAGCAGCAAATACATTAGCAAAGCTTATTAAAATTAATAGCTGTTAAAATGAAATAGAATCAAGCTATCAAATCTAATTAACCGTTTCTCCACTGTATAACGTACACATTCTGATTAAAGAGCAACGAATGACTCTCTAATTTATTAAGATTTTTTTATTACATTAAATAAGAGGTGTCACTTTAAAAGTGCACACATCTAACGATATAATGAAAGTATTTAACTGCTTTCCTAACCTTTTATGCTCATTTAACACGAAATTAGTTGTGTTTGGGAAAAAAAAAGCCCACCAAGATCGAAATCCTTATATGGTTTTATTATTAATTATATGTATATGTCTGTTTAAACACGCACCCAAAAGCCAGACTTTCTCTCCGCTTCAAATTTGCGTGTACAGAATCCGTTTGGGAAACAGCATCTGTTTATAATTATGGAGCACGTCAGCTGATACTAAAGCACCATTATATGATTGTTTTGGGGATCGTATAAGATGGGCCACAGCACCTGTAATTAAAAGGTAATGGAATTGCGCCGTTTTTAATATTTATTTATAAGTGTTTTCATTTCTAAACAAAGCGAAAGCACAGAAGACTCACGTTTTAGAGCAAGGGGCGACCCCTTGTGGTTTGGTGGTATGGGTTGCGTATAGGGAGGCTCGGCTGTTCAGAGAAACTCAACTCAACTCACTTTATTTCTATAGCACTTTCACAAATCACAATGGATTACCAAAGTGCTGTACATAAAATCAAATAAAAAAGCATGTAAAATATACATAAAACCAAGAAAGACTGAAAAATACGAGAGAAATACGGGAAAATACCTTAACGGGATGATAGCGGGATAGAACAGTAAAATACGGGAGAATCCCGGGAAAAATGGGAGGGTTGCCAGGTATAGTCTGTGCGCACAACAAATGGGCGGGGCTTGAGTTCTGTGTCGATGTCACAGCAACACGGCTAAAGACTTTTATAGATGAATCAATAGTTTTAAACATGGAGCACTTTTCAGATTTAAGCCTTAGCGGGATATTTCACTTCACTTAGAGCTGTGTTTCACACTGCATGTAAGATCATTGTCAAAAACCCATAATAGGGACTCTTTAATAATAAGAGCTGCAATTATTTGAGATGGAAATAATAATCAATTTAATGCATACTTGTTTCCCAGAGATGGTTTGCGGCTGGAAGGGCATCCGCTGCGTAAAAACCTGCTGGATAAGTTGGCGGTTCATTCCGCTGGGGCGACCCCAGACTAATAAAGGGACTAAACCGACAAGAAAATGAATGAATGAATGCATACTTGCTGAATTATTAAAATAACAACCTTAATGATTTAAATGTTTGTATTTTCTTTCGGTTTCTTGAGTTAGATCCTGAACAAAAACAATCTTTCCACATCCGTCCACATGTGTTTCCAGAATAGCACAGAACAATGGGTCAAACAGCTAAGCCTGTGTGAAGTTACAAGTGCAGTGATTGACACTTTGCGAGATATTTTGGCATGGAAACCACACATACTTTTCTGTTTCTTGTGAAACTGAATTTGCTTTTCTTTGATAGCACCTATATAGTTCTCAATCTCGGATTTGCGTTTCACTTTTACACATGTGAACTCTGGAACAACCTGCGTATCCCGTTCTCTTCCAATCTACCTTGTTGAACTTGAGCTCTCTTTCATCAGCCAGCACACATTCAAGTCCAACACACGCACCCAGTCAATATCTAAAGCTAGACTGATAGTAAGCATATTATACTGTGAGCTTGTGGAAAATTCCTCCAAATTAGGGTTAGACTGATTTAGCTTTGTCTTCTTGCTGCTTCATAGCTCAGGTAAAACATTTTCTTATTTTGCACTACTGCACCACCTTCTGGATACAAGCAGGTGTTGCGCTCATAAAAACACAACAAAGCCACAGATTTATGGAAGCAAGCCATGTGTGCTTGTGTCTCCCTTGTGTGATTGTGTCTCCTGTCTGGCCTCTCGTGACAACACAGAAAAGAGACATCTTTACATTCATCTGTTAGGGAGGCAAGGGGCCAAGTCAATGGCTTTACAATTAAAAGGTTCAAATCAGAGCAGACATGTTATTGGGCACATTACCAAGACGGTTAATCAACAGCTGACTTCGCCTTCCTCCCTTGAGACTTTATTTCTGAAAAATTACTGCCTGTCGCCTTCATGGACGTTAGCTATTTACTCAGCTCTGCCAAAACCATACAGGACTGATTAGCACACAACAGAACTGTTTGCTCATATAATTCCTGAAAATTGAATGGGTTGTTTAGATTAATGATGTTGTGGTGACTTTAACGGCATTCCGTTGCTGCAATAGATGTAAATAAGATGCTAATTTGTCTATTTGGACTGAATCAACATTACATTTTGACTTGTGAAGCTGTTGTTTTAAATTGCAAGCATATTGATGGCTTTATTTTCTCGGTTTCTCTTCAGGGAATTAAAGGAGATGAAGGACAGAAGGTAAGGAACACATTTGATTATTATTTTGTTATTGTTGTTGTTGTTTAAAAAAATGCAATAATGATGCATTATATTTTTCAGTGATTGGTTTAACGAGTAATCTGAAAGTAACCGTTTTGTAGGTTGATAAAGTGTTTTTATTGTCTTTATGGTTCTAGCAAAAAGATTGATCTTGACCAGCTCAACATAGCAACATTGTTCCAACCAATAGAATGTTCTCAGGGTGTGGCTATCCGTTCATTTCAGCCAATGACAGATTGCTGTTGTTGTTCTGTGTATGCAAATGTCAGATTTGCGTTCAGTTCAGTTTATTATATTGCTTTAGGGGTTTATTACATCAAACAGGTGTGTGTTTTGTTACATTACATACAGATACAGTTGAAGTCAGAATAATTAGCCCCCCTTTGATTTTTTTTCTTTTTTAAATATTTCCCAAATGATGTTTAACAGAGCAAGGAAATTTCAATCAATCACAGTACGTCTGATAATATTTTTTCTTCTGGATAAAGTTTTATTTGTTTTATTTCGGCTAGAATAAAAGCAGTTTTTAATTTTTTTAAATCTATTTTAAGGTCAAATTATTAGCCCCTTTCAGCTATTTTTTTATCTCGATATTCTACAAAACAAACCATCGTCATCTAATAACTTGGCTAATTACTTTAACCTAGAGTGTGTTTCTTTAACAACGACATAACTCGTGGCTGAACTATCATAGTTCGATGCAATGTTTGGGAAAAGTAGTTTCCCCTAGTTTCCCTGTTGCAGATCCATCGCTTGAACCAGGTTAGTTATAGGGTAAACCGGCCATAATGAAACTCTAAACGGGGTGGAGTAACACATTCTTTAGATAAGAACCCCATCATTTCTTTGTGCAAATTATATTGTTTTACACAAACATGCAACTAAAATAAAATAATATTAGTTTTGGTAAAAACATGCACTCGTTTTTTCGTTTTTTTATAAATTAATATATGTAAATGGCACATATAAGGCCTATGTTTAATATTATTGAGAAGTTGAACATAACATATTCTATTTCAAAACATAAAATCACTTACAAAAGCTAACACTATTCTAACATCATATATAAATCATATAAATAAATAATGAGGTTATTTGTTATAAATATATTTGTTATAATATTAATGATTATTATTATTTTTTTTTAAGTAGGATATTGTTTATTTATTTTTTATTTTTTTGAAAAGTCTACTTTTACAATTTGACACATGCAAACCACAGCAGAAATGTTCTAACCAGCAGGCCCATGTCAAATACAGTACAGATACCTAATAAATAACCCAGTGTAAATTAAAAGAATTAACGTATATGCTATGTTTTTTTTTGTTTTCACAAGCTTTGGAGACGTGACATAAATTCCACTTTTAAATAATAGGTGACCTATAGCTTTGCTATGAGGCTGTGTTCAAAATTATATCAATGTTTTCAAAGTGCACTGCGAAGAGAGCACAATTGTAAACATAAAGATCGCTAAAATTTAACTGTAAAAATACTTTGAAAGCAAATTACACCTAAGAGAGACGACCTTAATGATTTTTTTTTTTTTTGATAATTCCAACTTCGAAAGTTATAATGTTCTAAATGAATAGGGCATAGGGGGATAAGTGGGAATAGAACACAGCCAGGAACTACAGTATGTTTCTAACCACAGCTCCAGAGGTGTAGTTTCAAGTGCTCAAGTTTGCGAGGCAGTTTGCGAATGTTCGTTGGAGCAATGGATTTGGGAAACGGCAAATCAATGAACTATGTTTGTAATGTTGTAACTTGCAACCTTAGTTGGCTAACGATGGTTTTGGGAAACGCACCCCTGCACAGTTAACCTAATTAACCTAGTTGAGCTTTTAAATCACTTTAAGCTGTATAGAAGTGTCTTGAAAAATACCTATTCAAATATTATTTACAGTCATTATGGCAAAGATAAAATAAATCAGAGATTAGAAATGAGTTATTAAAACTATTATGTTTAGAAATGTGTTGAAAAAATCGTCCCATAATTAAAGCTACATAAATTGGGGAAAAAAATAAACAGGGGGACTAATAATTCAGGGGGGCTAATAATTCTGACATCAACTGTATTTACCTTTGAAATGGATGAAGCATATCTAAACATCTAAAGATGTATTTATGACTGTATCACATGTCTGAGGCATTGCTCATCTGCTGGAATGATTACTCTAGTTCTCACCAGGGGGACGTTTGCCTTGTAAATAGAAGTGGGCTGCATGTAAAGTTTACACCTGCTGATGCACAAATAGTCTTTATAGGAAACAGCTATTCAGACTGTTCTCCAAAGCTAGCAGTGACAGACAGCCTCACTGCTGTGGAATGGTCAGGCGAAATACAAGGTATGAGGACTTGAGGAAGCACAATTTTTTTTTGACCTTTCAAAACATAACTGGCTCATTCTATTGACTGCAGTATATAAATACTGCAACTCAAAGCAGCAACAATTAAAAATTAAAAAGAGAAGAGGAAAATAATCATAAAAGCTAAATTATGACTGTTTTTGGGTGAAGTTATTAAATTAGGAGTAAATTAGGACAGAAATCAGATATATCTGTTTTATTACCTGTTTAAATGCACCATGAAATCAAAATTGAAAAAGTGTGCTCTCGTATATTTCTAAGCAGATAAAAGTCACTCACTTGTCAACGGTATTGCTATCTTTAAATAAATTGGTCATTGAATTTAGAGATGTCCCGATCAGTTTTTCTTTTGCCCTCAATTTCGAGTCATTTAATTTTTAGTATCTACCGATACCGAAACCCGATCCGATACTTCTATAATACATAAAAAATAATAAAGAAGAGTGAAAATAAAATATAGCTCAAAGGGGCTAATAATTTTGACCGTAAAATGGCTTTAAAAAAATATAAAACTGCTTTTATTCTAGACGAAATAAAAAAAATTACTTTCTCCAGAAGAAAAAAATATTATCAGACATACTGTGAAAATTTTCTTGCACTGTTAAACATCATTTGGGAAATATTTAAAAAAAACAAAAAAAACAAAGGGGGCTAATAATTCTGACTTCAACTATATATTCGGACATGATGTATTATTGTCTCGGTTTTTCTTGATTAACTGAAAGTATAGGTATAGGTTTGCATAAAATGTTGATGTTTGTTTTATTCTATAAGGGTCTAATAACATTTTGTCAAAAATTCTAACAGGTTTTTGGTTTTTAGGGCATTTATATTTTTGGTTAGAATAACAAATGGTTTTATTTGTTGTGATTAAGTGAAGTTTAATTTATTAAACTAATTTCGAGAGGAGTACATACTCATGATTAAACCAGCTGGCTCATATTAGCTAATCACGATCCCTCAATCAAGGATCCCTAGTTCCAATATATATCTCCTCCTTTTCCACTTACAACTATTTTCGTCTTGAAGAATCCCCCCTCCTCCCCCCTCTCCCACCTTTATCCAAAATAGGTAGCTCAGCGGCCCAGCAACAATACCAATAGATCCGGCTCCCTTCTGAGCTTCTGGTATCTCTGCGCGGCGCTAGCCTGCAGTTCTCTCAAAAAAAAAAATAAATAAATTTCTCCGCACCATAGACATCTTAATCCTAAGTCTCTTTTATTAGTCGTTTCGCTAAGTTCACCTTGGCTAGCTGCGGGGGAGTTTTGAGATCGCCCTGAGCTCAATCTCCCTTCGCCCCACAAAGGGAGGGAGCCCTGGACTCGAGGAATGCCTTGAGCTCAGGGCTCTCTCCCGGGACAGCATGCCAAAGGAGCTTTCGTAAGTCATGAGCTAAGTGTGAACTCTTGAAGAGGTTCATTGTAAATACATGATTTAGCTCACATTTTTGTGTCAAAAATGTACTTAAACATCCGTTTGGCTGCTGTTTCTGGGTAAAGTAAAGGCAGCATGATGCCAACAGCAAGTAATAAGGACATTTAATTGACAAATAAAGTATTATTTCCATACAGTTCTTTACACAACACCAAATAATACTGCAAAATACTGCAGAACCCGTCAACAGTCATGATTTGTAATCAAATATTTTCTATCTTCATATAGCAAGACGTCAAAGGTAAACTGGTCACGTCCAGTTTGTTCTTCACTTTAGTCAATTGGTAAAATGAAATTAAATAAATTATACGTGCATATTACTCGACACACACTGAATCTGCATGCGCAGAAATCCACTGATTTTGAGCTCGTCATTGAGTCTATTTATTTACTTCTGTAAATCTGTGAACATTTGATTTTATTCAGTTTTTACATTAATTTTAGTATTTATAATGACTTGTATGAAAGTTTTCATTTGATTTATTTACAATACAGCTTTTAAAGTAATATTTTCTGTCTTTTAGTTGATCTACTATATGAGAGACTTGCTTTGTTTACCACATAAGTGAATCAAATTGGATTTACATTGTAAACATTACATTTAAGTTAATTATTTTTTATTTCAGATAATAATGTTTTTGTTACAATACTTCCAAAATAATTCTGCATAAATCTGCAAATTTTTTTACAAAAGTCTTAGCATAAATGGCAAAGAATGTCAGCAGATTCTGTGTAGTCTTACTTATTACTTTTAACTTTGAATAAAGTTAGAAATTTCAAAACATTACCTTGACAAACAACTTAAATACTTACAACCTGTGTATAATGTTGATAGTACATCCATCTGTAAATATCACCATAGTTTTTCTATAAGTGCACTTTATAACTTATACCATCCTGCACTTGAAGCTATTGCACTGCTGGTTAGACCTAAACTGCATTTCGTTGCATCGTACTTGTACATGTGTAATGACAATAAAGTTGAATCTAATCTAAAAATCATCTAAATAATTTAAAGTGGAAGTACTAAATTTACTAAAACTAGAAAGAAATTAACTGCATGCCCCACCCAAACTTATATTTATGTAGGAAATGTAACAACACAGGAAAGAAAACTGCTTGCCAAACAATTTCACAGAGTCTTTAAATAAACCTGTGTTCAGACGGGAGAGGAAGCAGAGGCTTGAGTCTATGGGCCAGACATCTTATGAGAAATCTGTGTCCCACCGAACTCCTTTACTAGCCTGAGTTTGATGGAATTTTCATTTCCTCTGCACATCCCCGTCTGCCCCGCTTCTGTCCCAGGACCACCCTGTAAAGCCCCATAGTGAAACGTCCTAATGCTTTCTCCTACTCCCACTACTCTCCATACTCCTAGGATCACAGTACTTGTACTATTTTTTTGTCCATTTATGGTTTCTGGCATCTTCATTTGAACTGTGCCATTCTTCATCTTTTTGCTAGGGATTACATGAGTCCATGTCTGCATTTTTTTTCTTAAGCAGGGTGTGTGTGTTTGTGGGATGGATTGTGTGCTGAAAATCTCCTCATCTGTACGTTAATGTAGGGCGATCAAGGAACGGATGGGCAGAGAGGAGAGAAGGTATTCTGCTTGGGAAATGGAGTTTGTTGTGCATTTATTTGGATGCTTTTTCATGCATGTGTGTACGGAGAAGAAACCTAGCTATTGGAATTATTTGTCAAATCATTTTGGGACTGTCAAATCACACTGGTGTGATTTAATTAAGTAAGCATGCGTGTTAATGGTTTTAGAGTGAAGTAGTCATTTTAACCAGTTATATAATGATAACTCTTGGCCTTTATCAGGCTTGCATTTCCACTGCCAAAAGGGTACCAATGGTGTACGACAGAAAGTTTTAGTTGACGTCATTCTCGCTGGAGGAAATGTCAGAAAAAAGATATATGGGTCATTCACATATCACATAAGTAGCACTTCTCACAAAAACAGATGCTTTATAGACATAAATACTGGTTTATAAATGTTCATTACTAACCTTTCTATGAACAAGATTCGATTATAACTGCAGATCAATGCAAAATAGCCTACTGTAACGTCTGTAATTATATAAAAAAAATAATAAATGCAACATATATGAAACACATACAGACTGTTACAGTATCTGATATGTTACCAATTACAGAAAAAACTACACACAGAATACATTTAGTCCTTATTTGGGTTCAAAAACAACACGCAATGTAACCAGCAGTCAGTGCATACATAACCTCTTGTTAGAAAGTAATTTGATCATTCCCAGTTAATAATAGTCCAAAAAGTGATGATAATAGTTAAACATGGCAGTGTGTTCATGGCTTAGGTTGCTGAAACAATCATTTACTCCTTTTTTTTTTCCGGCTCCTCCTTTGTTTTTTCACGCATCATTCTCACGTTTGTCCGTTTCTGAAAGGATCGGATGTCAGAAGCACTTCAATAATCATGCTCACATTACTATTATTAGCTTAAGAAATTTGTTATTTCAAATATAGACATGTGGTGAACGCACACGAGAAAGTGAAACCCCTCGCGATTTAGACGGCCTTGTAAACAACTACGGGGCACAGGGTAGATTCTGCTTTTATTAGCTTTGTGGTTGTTTATCAAGACAACGACAAGGTTTGTTTAAGCTCAGGTCGACTATGGCTCACTATTATATGTATATATTATTATGCTGTAATGTCTCTTTTTTTGTATTTAAAAATGGCGGCTCCTTCATTTCATGAGCGAGTGACGCATCTCTGTAAACCAATAGCATTCAGTTGCGCGTCTTGCTCCATCTTTTGGTACCCTTTCAATGCCTACCCAAGAATTGGTAAGCTACGGTTCGCTTTTAGGTACCTTTTGACAGTGGAAATGGCCATAAAAACGTACCGAACTGAACTGTACTGTACCGTTGAAGTCAGAATAATTAGCCCCCTTTGAATTTTTTTTTTTAATATTTCTCAAATTATGTTTAACAGAGCAAGGAAATTTTCACAGTATGTCTGATTATATTCTTTCTTCTGGATAAATGCTTATTTGTTTTATTTTGGCTTGAATAAAAGCAGTTTTTAAATTTTTTTAAAACCATTTTTAGTCCCTTTAAGCTATATATTTTCCGATAGTCTACAGAGCAAACCATCGTTATACAATAACTTGCCTAATTACCCTAACCTGCCTAGTTAACCTAATTAACCTAGTTAAGCCTTTAAATGGCACTTGAAACTGTTTAGAAGTGTTTTAAAAAATTTCTAGTCAAATATTATGTGCTGTCATCATGGCAAAGAGAAAATAAATCAGTTATTAGAAATGACTCATTAAAACTATTATGTTTAGAAATGTGTTGAGAAAATCTTCTCTCCGTTAAACTGAAATTGGGGGAAAAATAAACAGGGGGGCTAATAATTCTGACCTCAACTATATATATCTGGTATCATATTTTTCTACACATTTTATATTTTACAGTACAATTGTATAAATTCAATATATTTAATAATTTCTATTTAATTTTGTACGTCCCTTGTAGTCTAATATCATTAACAAGTTATTGTATCTAGTGATTCTTACTATATTTTAGTCATATTGCAAAATATATTAGGTTAGGGCTAGCGTTAAAAAATACAGCAATACAGTATTTAAAAAAAGCCTTTAAATTGTGAAACTTAAATACAGTCAATAGGACGTTTTTACTCAACGAAATCTTAAATGGCGGTCTGTTTGCTCGTTCATTTTGAAAGTGAACTATCCATATCTGCCTGAAATGCACATTCTTATAACTCATCCGACCTCAAAGACTTGTGCATTGACGTTAGCAAAACTAAGGATTCACAGTGGCCGAGGGCAGGACAAATGCTTTGCAACCGAAACCAGGATGTGCACAAAGACATATGAGTCAGTACCGGAGTCATGCTGAGAGACCAGAGGGATTGCATGCTAAGAGAAAAACCGGCCACAAGCACAAGACATTCCCTCTCTCCTTCATCCGAGCACCTGCGCGTCTGATTTACAGGCCTCTAACCCTGCTGTTTGTGGAGAGTCCCATGTTACGCGCGGCTTGATGGGCTTAACACACTTATTTTTGCTACCTGCCGCTGTCTCTGCCAAAACACATGGTGCCATACTCTTTGATTGTTAGCTGTGTTGTCATGACAGTGCTTTGTGTTTCTGTATTTGGGTGGTGTGTTTAAGTGTATGAATGTTTTCATCGTCAAGCTCTGCAGACTTCTGCACCAGCTGGGGAACTGACAGATGAATAAGCACATCTGCTGCTCTGCTATATTTAGTATTTTTTATACATTTATATAGATATACAACTTGATCACCACCTCTAATTCAATGCAGAAACACTTATCGTGCGGTGGTTTGGGGTTGATGGATGGTTTGTTTGGGGTTGCAGGGGTGTGGAATATATCACATATCATAGCTATATTTCTATCTAAACATGCAAATTAAATGTATGCGCAAAACTGGAATATCGCACAAAATATTTGTGAGTAAAGCACTTCCTGATAAACTGGCATCAAATATCAAGAAAATTAGAATTTGCTGCTATAGGAAAAGCCACTTCAGGCCTTACAATTAAGAAGACATAAAATATAGAGACAATTTTATGCAAAAGTTTCGGCACCTCTAATAAATGTTCAATTGCAAGCCAGCATAGCCTGTTGGCCTTTCAAATCAGCAAATTCATTTGGATATGTTTTATACCCTAGGGCAGTGGTCACCAAACTTGTTCCTGGAGGGCCGGTGTCCTGCAGATTTGAGCTCCAACCCTAATCAAACACACCTGAACAAGCTAATCAAGGTCTTACTAGGTATACTTGATACATCCAGGCTGGTGTGTTGAGGCCAGATGGAGCTAAACCCTGCAGGGACACCGGCCCTCCAGGACCAGGATTGGTGACCCCTGTCCTAGGGAAAAAAGCAACATTTAAGTCCTGACATAACATTTATTTAATCAGCAGATGCACTGAAATTTAGGTCATAATAAAAACAGATAGGTGGGCACCCCAACAGAATAATGACATTAATCTTTTGTACTGCCACTTTTTGCTGAAATAACAACCTGTAGATGCTTCTTATAGTCAAGGATATATATATATATATATATATATATGTGTGTGTATATATATATATATGTGTGTGTGTATATATATATATATATATATATATATATATATATATATATATATATATATATATAGTTGAAGTCAGAATTATTAGACCACTTGTTTATTTTTCTCCAATTTCTGTTTAATGATGGATTCATTTTATCTTTACTATGATGACAGTAAATAATATATTACTAGAAAATTTTCAAGACACTTCTATACAGCTTAAAGTGACATTTAAAGGCTTAACTAGGTTAATTAGGTTAACTAGGCAGGTTAGGGTAAATAGGCAAGTTATTGTATAACAATGGTTTGTTCTGCAGACTATCAAGAAAAAATATAGGTTAAAGGGGCTAATAATTTTGTCCCTAAAATGGTGTTCAAAAAATTTAAAACTGCTTTTATTCTAGCCGAAATAAAACAAATAAGACTTTCTCCAGAAGAAAAATATTATCAGACATACTGTGAAAATGTCCTTGCTCTGTCAAGCATCATTTGGAAAATATTTTAAAAAGAAGGAAAAAAATTCGAAGCGGGCTAAGAGTTCTGACTTCAACTGGACTGTCAAAATTAGCATGTTAAAGCACGTGATTAATTTTAATTATTTAACACGTTTTAAAAAAATAACACAAATAACGCAGTTGCAGTTTTTTTTTTTCTGTTGTGGCCGACGTGTGTTCAGGGACGGCGCGCGCATAGAGGCAACATAGGTGGCTGCCTTGGGCAGCAGAATAGTGAGCAAAGCCTCTGTCTTTACTTTCATCCTCTACACACACCCTCTCCCTCATGGTCCTCGCTTTTATCAGCAAACCGGTCACTTTCTTTTTCACTTTCGGGTTGAGGGTGGATTCACGAAAACAAAAACTGCAAAAAAAAAAAAAAACGTAGCTTCTGGGACGTATTTGCCAGTCTCCAGAAATGTATATAAAGGTACGTTTTCAGGATGAGCTTGGGTTGGAGGAAATTGTTAATTAAAATCCTTTCTTAAAGTGCGTCCCTGTCATATTAAAACATGTTGCTTTTGTTTCTATGTTTGCCTCAAGTAATCCATAAACAAAAACAATATTCGCTTAAAAAAGAAATTGATGCTGTATTATTGGCAGTTTGTTTTTGTCAACAAATCAATCACATAAATGTGACTAAACGATAAACTGGCATTATATACAAAACATTATATAGTATTAATCACATTTGTTTGTTGTTTAAACAACTTTTTTAAAACGAGCTGAAAAACACAAGTCTTATTTTCTTTTACTTAATTGTTTTACTATAAATCCACTTAAATTTATAAAAGCTAATAAGTTGCTTAAATACTTTATTTTCACCCAGCATTTTTATAGTGATGCATACGTTGATTTTACTATGATACTGCAGTACAGTACAAGGGAAAACAGCTGTCTTGCTTCAGAACATCTGCTTCTCTCATGTATTGCCTGTGTTGGTTTGTGTAGTGAAAGCCAGTGAATATTTATGAGATAAAAAGGAGATAAGCAA